TAACTATATATTTTGAAGTGTATAATAGTAGGGGAAGGGTTTAATAAAGGAACGATATTATCTTTAAATTAATAGTACGTTTCGAATTGGTCTTAGGGAGATTTCTAATAATATTCCGCCTTAGGGGTTAAATTATATAAATATATAACCGCTCTAATAGTTTTCATTTATAGTTTGTAAGGAAGATTTGCATTTAATTATACTACCGTACCTTTAATCTTAATTGTACCCTTTAAACACTCTACGCCACCGTTTTAAATTTACATATAAGGCGCTAAAGGCTCGATATTAATTCCTTTAGCGGCAAATTAAGTAATAATTTTTTTACTATTAATTATTTCGTTATCGTATTCGATTATCCAAAATACAGTTTAATATTAAATTTATAACTTTATATAAAGGGATTACAAATACGCAATAATAGATTCAGCTTTTCTATTACCTAAATAATATATTTAGACGAATTTAAATTACCAATCTACAACTACTATTAAATTTAAATATTTCTAACTTCCTACTTTTACTTTCTTATAAGCGAAGAAATCGACAGTTAATCGTAATTTAGGGCCCTCTAAGTAGTTACGAACTTCTTTACGCACTTAGCGCTTCAATTTAGCCTTAGTATATAATTTGTAATATATTATATCCGGTCCCTTAAATCGTACGCTATACTCTTACTCCATTAGCTTAACTAAAATTTCGAATCCTAGGTAACTAAATTAAAAATACTAACGAAGGGGCTTACTTTTTCAAGGCTTCAACTTAATATAATTTATATACCGTATAATAAAAGAAGATTCGTTAATACTATTTTATAAAAAGATATACTCTAAAATAGATTATTTATGTTTAAAGAGAATATAATAAATAAAGGAATTCGTAAAGCGGGAGCGTAGGTAACTATTCTTATAGTCCTAGTAGATTTATTCATCTTCGATTTATCTTAAGGAAAAAAAATTATAAACTATATCCGGCATTAGGGCGATATTATGGAATTAGAATTCTTTATCTCCAACGTCATTTTAAATTATAATTATAATAATACTATACTCCTTAATAGGAATCCGCTTATTTTTAGCCTATACGTAGTTACTAGTATTTAATAAAGTAAGGTCTTTAAACCAATTAATTTTATTAAAAATATATATTATCGTATTTAAATCGAAGATTATAGAATCTATTAGTAAATATACGGCGCCGCATTTTATTATAAGTATTAAAAAATTATTTTTACTTACCCAGCGTCTATAGAATTAATTATTTTAGTCTTTATCGTTCCACTACGTTCGTAGACAATTGACGGCTTTTTTAAATATTTTATCCTTTTTTAAATTAATAAACGCGTACTTTTTAATAATAGGACTTTCAATTTAACTTTTATAAACTAATTATAATTTAGCGTAGTAGTATTTATTTAGATTATAGCCTGGCTGCTTATAGAGTTTGTACGGGGATCGTTACAATCGTTTATTCGCTAGTACGGACGAGGAGGAGGTACATTTATTCTTATTAATATTTTTTCTAAATTTACCGTTCTTACTTATAGCCTTTCCCTATCTCTTTATTTCTGGGCTAGGATTTTATTCGTCGTTAGGAGCGTCTTCTTTAGTAGGTTTACCGCCTAATATAATTACGAACGTAATACCTTTAAATAAGGGGGCGCAACCCTTTCTTTAAATAGTATTTACTATTACTACTTTACAAAAGTTCTTAACTACAATACGGAAAGAAATTTTAAAATTAAAGTTTCTTTCGATCTCTTTATTATATTAGAATTAGTAATTATTTATTTAAGCGGTATAAGGATTCGATTTTATAATTATATAGAATTTTAGGAATTATAAATTTAGTTTATTTACTCTAATAATTCCTCTAATAATATAGAAGGCTATAGCCGCTTTCTAATAAAAGGTCTAATTATACTAATTATAATTAGCTTTACTAGGGGGTTTGAAAATATTAATAAATTTAGCTCGGACGAGCTTCTTTACTTTATGGTCGTTAAAAGCGGTAGATTTACTAAGATTATTATACTATTCGTATAGATTAATACATTTAGTAAAATTAATTTTACAATAATTATTTCTAACGGTTTTAAATATTTAGCGATTTAACGTAATTTCTTTAGTACCTAGGTTAAAAAAGGTTTTAACCTCTATACGCCAATCCAATTTCTTAATTATATAATTACAATAATCGCGCTTATAATAGAAATTATGAAATTTAGCAGTAGTAGATAAGGTAGACTCCTTATCCTTCTTAGCTTCCTTAGTTTCTCTAATTAGGACCTCTCCCTAATAGTTAGCGATATTAGGTTTTACGAGTTTAATTAGCTAAGGTATATGGTTATTAGGATCGATATATTTCTAGAAACTAAAGTCATAAGCTATAGAGATAAAGGCATCTTCCTAAACCGGCTAATCCTTAGGGCCATTAAGAGTGACGCTATTAATCTTAGTCATAGACATTATTGGCAGTCGTTTTATTGGTTATTGTTATTAGCGATAGCTTCAACGGTTAAATTAATGAGACTCTTAATTGTAATATTATGAGTAATAATCAATATGGGGTTCAACGTGGCTTGATTGTGTACATCTGTGTAAGATTGGCTCTGCAGACTCGAAGCTCTGGCATCTGGATAAATCCCGCATATCCCAGCCCAATTCGGCACGTGCACGCCCAGTGGATCCCCTGGCCTCTGACAGAAACCAAAAAACAGGTACAAAGACAAAGTATCTTATTCCCGCTCTCCACGATCTTCACTAGCGCCCGAAGGGAACCCAGCCGTGTGGACACTTGACAGGAGAAAGTGGGAACCGGACAGGGATTTGGGGTTTTGAGAATGCGGAAGCCTGGAGTTGTTTCCGTCCGTGTTCGACGTTTGTTTCCTCCTTTCCCTCCTCCTGCTCGACACTTTCCATTCCTTGACTCGGCCATCTTCCGAACTTCAATCGTGAATTGGCGTGGGTTTATGAAATCTTCTTTTCAAAGGCTGTAAGACCTTTATCTCAACCGAGATGGTGTCGAAATATCTGCCTGTGACTGAAAGATAGGCATCAATTTGGGCTGTTTACTTGAGGGGACTCGCCAAGTTTCATCTAACAACATCAGGAAAAATCCTCTCGACGGGATAACTAACTACTGACTCTTGAGTCTCCAATGACTTCATCTGCTGGACATATTAAGCTCCAGGGGGCGGGCGGGATGCGTCTTCAATGCCTCATTCATTCTTTTGACTCCTGGAACACAACGGTATCCCGACGCCGGCGACCAAATCGGGCCAGAGACAGACACTTGGGGTTGTGGAGGCAAATCGGGCTAGGCTAGGCAACACAATTCTCTATCCTTTGATACGCTCGCCATCCGGCCCGAGCCCGGCCTCTCTCTCATCCATTGTTGCATAAAATGAAACAAATGAAATGATGTGTCTACCTAGAGAGCCCGGCCCACCGAGTGCTCCGGAGTTTGGACACTACCTACCTGATATGTATCCTGCAGACTGACTTGAGCGAGTCGACGACGAGTGGTTACCGGAGATGTAAAAAGACCGGAGATGTGAAAGAAGTACATACGCACAGTTGTAGAGTAGAGTTAGAGTACTCTAGAGCTTGGCTTGGCTTTCTCTCTGGATGAACCACGGTGCTTTGATCTCGGTAGACTACCCTCTTTCATGACAGTTAAACTGCCGTCGGAGAAAAAAGTGTTTAGTCATAATAACTAGGTTCGGGGTGACATGATGGTTGTTGTATGTTTCATGAAATGTGCTCCCATCACATCACCCCCTTTCTTTTTTACCATGTTAGGCTTCGGCGTTTAGGCCTGGGTGTTTCACACAGACTGGACCGTGGGTCGGGAGAGAGGATGGCAGTGAGATGACATGGAGACAACGGACAAATCTGGGGCCTTCTCTTATTCCTCTTGCGAGTGTGAGATGTGATGGGTAGAGCATCCCTTGTAGGTATGCGGAAGATTTCTGTTCCCAAAGATGCAGCTGTCAAGGTAAGCCCGAAGGGGTGCAGTTATGGTAGGTAATATCCGCATCGTCATTAGCTCCGGAATAGACGTGACGGTAAAAACTGCCAAGTCAGTCCAGCCCAGGCTTAAGTTCCCGTACATAATTGATGCCTAGTGAAGACTACAATCTCGATGATACAGAGACTGAAGCCCTACCGCCCTACCGACGAGTATTGCCGTAATAACTCTATTCATCAAGCCAGGAGAGAGTGGTAACATGAGCCAGAACCAGATCAACGTGGTTGACGGGTATGGCAAAGTCTGGAACCAATACTGTCTTGCCGGTAGTGTAGGTGTGTAACAGGTAAACTGTCCCTGCAAGATGATGACTGAGCCAAATCCACTATGGATTCGGGAGTCGGTGGGAATAAGTCAACCGACCGGTGACAAGCCTTTGTCTTGTCTGGCTGTACCGCTATCCTGTGGCTCTCCACCGAAGAGTTTCGAAATGAGATGGTTTTCTGCATGCCTTGCATAATCGTAACACGGCTCATGTTACCGGTCCTGAAGCCAAAACATTTTTTGGTCCTTGAGTTGTGCCTAGGCGGTCTCAACTGCCGCTGTTTTGCCTCTTTTGGACTGCCATACATACATACCCTGGCGGTCCAGGTGTGTCTTTCCCTCCGGTATTGGGGGCCCGCATGTTGACAAGGTTTCGAATCCTAGGACTACCTTCAATGGTTGGTAATTAACCTACTGCCATGCGAGGGGAAATGGCAGGGAGCCTGAAGGTGATGAATGTATGCTGTTGGCCTTCGGTCGGTGGGAAACAAGAGCAGAGAACATGGGGGAAACACTGAGTGTCAAGTCCCAAAAAAACAAGCCGCATCATACCATTAGGATCGAGGGCAAAAAGAAAATTCCATGATATTGCACGCTCCCGGGTATAGCTACTATTCTCCAGTACAGCTTCGGATTTACACGGTTCCTTGCGTTAACGACCGTGTGGATATCCTCAAAAAAAAAAAAAAAAAAAAAAAAAAAAAGAAGAAACAACCAAGAGAAGAACACCAGGTAGAAAATATGCCAGAAACGCCTAACCATGAATAACAATATATGGCAATAGCCACTTTTCCTCTCTCAGTACCTCACACGCCCCAAGTCCAAGCATATCTTCATCTGTCGTGTTTATGTGTCCTGCGTCATCCTCAGAAATCCCTAGTGGTCAACCACATCTCCTCCGACCTCGTCGACATCGAACGGTGAAGAGAGTGGTGAGCCTGTGGTGGACTGAAGGCTAGCGTTGAGTACTCGGACAGAGGTGAAACAATGTCGGATGCAGCAATACTAGGCATCATACTGGGTATCTCCTCCCGCGGTGGCGTATTGCTGCTGTTCGCTACTGCCCAGCCAAGTGATCTTGCCGAGATCCTTCTGTTGAGGGATGGCGGCTCTTCGATCGGAGCTGGAGGGATCATGCTTCGCCGTTGCCCTTGATTCCACCACTGGTTCTCAAACCCGTTATCCACCGTCACCATTGCTGCTGATAGTTCCTCTAGATCTCGTACACTACCCGGGTCGGAATCCCCACGAGTTTGGGAATTACTCGGTCCAGGCGAGAAGACAGAGATGCCTGTGACGGGGCTGGCTTCGTAAATGGACCCTTCATCATCCGGATGGAAATCAGGTATGCTCTGCTGACGATGATGGGCCGATGGGAGGTCCGAGACATCATCATTCTGCGAAGCAGCCCCTGTCTCAAATACCATTGGTGATGACCATGGCATACCGGCCTCTCCGAGACGAAACTGGTTTGGGGCCGCTGGTAGGGCTTTCCAGACATCCGATGGGGGACGTGGGGACAGCTCTGGTCTTGAATTCGATGGTCCCGCTGCTTGGTCCCCTACCAACCCTACATCCCAGGGGTTTTCACCGGTGGGTGGTGGTGCCGAATGACCCCTTTCCCCAGCAGATTTTGACCCAGACCGGGACCGTCGTCGCTGCTGCCGGGATGGCGTTGCGTGTTGGGCTGGCCCATAATATCCGGGCACTTGATAGTATTCCTGCATTTGGTGATGGGGACCAAGACGAGTGTCCGGTATCGAAGCAGCAGGGTTGATCTGCGAAAGTGGACGAGCAGCTTTCCGGCTTTCTCGGGTCCTCGATTGCCTTTGTTCGAAATCGTGGATGGCGGCTAGGTAGGTGGGATCGGGGGATGACATTTGACGGGGAAGCTTGGGGCCCGGACATTGCTCTTTCTCACGCACCGCCTTTGATCCTCTTGACCCATATGTTACTTCATGGTTCTTGGGTTGTTTTTTGGAAGACCACGAGATGCCAACCTCCAGATGAACATAGATATGCGGTCCTCGGCGCTCGCGGTATGATGGTGATGAAGGTCGATCCATGATATTGTCCAGGTCTCGGCGAAGTGTATCAGCTGGTAAAGCTGTGTGGTTGACTTTGAAGGCCAAGGTATGTGGCGGACGACGGAGGAAGAGGATAGATATTGGCAGAGGACTAATATCCAAGCTGACGCCCAACAGAGTATATCCTTAGCAGGCGCCGTTGAAGCGGGCGTAAGGGGGTGGGTACTAAGTTAAAGAATGGGAGGAGAAGCAGAGAAGGAACCAGCGGCGAGTCAGCTAAGCCGCCTGCGATCCATAAATACAACAAAGAAGGTTTCTGTTCGATTCAAACTCCTGTGATGGTCAAGGAGCGCTCCGGGAACAACGTGGCAGGCGGCGATCAGGGCAAGGGTTTGTCAATGAGCCAGGTACAACAAAAGTTCATCCATCTGTTGATGTATCAAGTGTGACTGTGGGGTGACAGGAGTGATCCAGATCTAGTTGTATGCACCGCCCAGATCCCGTAAGATTGATGGAGCTAGAAAAAGCGGCAGCCTAGACTTAGTGATGTGGATGTCCGACAACCCCCTGAAGACCGAGAACTGCTTGTTGTCAAATGCTTTTGTCCGAGCGGACGGATCCAATATCGGGCATTTGTTGCACTTCTTTTTCCGTGCTGTTCCTGGAAAGCTTCTTTGTTGCGGTGTCGCCGTGCTCCCAGCGGAAGGGATGATGACCCCTGGAGGCTGTGTTCTCGTATGTCGCCAATTGGCAACAAGACCGGCACAGGCGTGTCGTCCGTAAATATCAATGGACCGATTCTCGTCAAAGGGTCTCGGCGATGGTTAAGGCAGGTGAGGCGCGTCTGCGATTAGAGCATCCGAGTAGGCATGTAGACGAAGAACGAGAAGAAGGTGAGGACAGGCAAGAGGACATGTCTCGTTTAAAGTTAGCTCAGCTGAGTTCCCCTCATCGGCTGTTCGCAGCTCTAGACTCCTTCCTATTTGCGAACAATTGGCTGTGTCTCTGTCGTGGCGGGTTGTTACTGAATGCGGGGCAAATTGTAATATTTGGAAGGCACGAGGAAGGTTCATCGTGTCGGGTCACTATTTCCGTCGCCATCGCCATTTTCCATCATCATCACCCTCACCACCAGCATCACCGTCGGCCAGCATATCTCAAGCATATCAGTACGGAACGAAAAGGTCTTCCCTAGCCGACAAGCAACGGACATCGACCCGATCTTTGCAATTCCTGAAAGAGGGCATTATTGATGCTGCTGCTCCGTTACCGGCCTCAATGGTGTCTCATTGAACGGGATGCACATTGCAACATGGCCCTCGAGAGTTACACGTGATACCCATCGCCACTGCCCAATGCCCAATCAACGCTCGTATTGGGCCGCAATAGTGGGGCTCGCTACCCCGGACGACCGGCCCCCGACTACCTCCGAAGCTCCCCGTTTTCTCCGGCGACACTCCCCGTTCCCTTCATCTACATCACATGCACCGCAACGAGTTTTTGGGCAGCAACCATCTGTCATTTCCCAGTCATGTACTTCTAGTCTTCTGAGGCTATGGCGCCGTTTCAGGCTGCTCCGGAGGAAGGAAACCATTAATTTAGATCCCACGTGGATATCTACCGCCAGGAATGATGAGTAAACCACATCGGGGCACCGTTGTGCGAGTTGGGCGGGGTGGTGGCGTTCGCGGCACGGCTACTGTGTATTTGCTGTTGCTGATTGTTTCGTGCGGACAGGGTAACGAAACTTCTAAAGACAAAAGAACAAAAGAGGAGGAGGGCTTCCAGAAAACTTCCTTTTCAGAAAAAAATCTCGGACTCGGCCGACATTCATTCAACCCGCCGCTTCAACATCCTCACTGACAGACGAATCCTTAACCTTTCCCTTTTGGCTTTCCGGCTTGTCAGCTTCGTGCCCGTCATCCTCCTCCCAGAACTTCGCCTTCTGACTACCCCTCCCCTTGATCAGCCCTCCCAGATCAAACGGATCAAACAACGTCACCAGAAACGGTCTCGAGTCCTTGTATCCCGGTCCAGTGACCTCGGTCTTCCCGTCCCTTGCCGACAAATACGTCTTGGTGCTTTTCGGCAGGTACCTCCTCGGATGCCTGACGTTCATCAGCACCTGATTCACCAGCATCAGGCTGGCCTCAAACACGTAAAAGAACCACTCGTAACGGATGATGGGGCTGAACGACATCGGGTCGATAGATCTGTCGTCGTAGTGAAGGTCCGCCACGCTCCAGTACTCGACCACGCGGAAGATGGTCCGGATGGTTAGGAGCATGGTTGACGCGTAGAGCGTGTAAAGGACGTTTTCGAGCTTGGCGCTCCTGATGCCGCCACGACGGCACCGCCGGTGGAACACGCCGGCTAGGAGAAGGAAGAGAGCGATGACGACGAGCTGGATCAGGAGCGCGGCTTTGAGGAGGTTCCGACCAATGTCTTGTTTCCAGCGCGGAAGGGCCTGGTTGGCGCTTAGCGCTGCACCGTTGCCGTTGAGTGCCTCGACCACGGTGGAGATGAAGGCGAAGGTGGTGATGACGCGGCCAGGATGGATCGGTGAGTGGTAGGGCACGTAGTACAGAATCCTTCCGAGGATGTTGTAGTTGGCTAGCTCGGCGATGGGTCTGATACGAGGTTAGTAATCTGTCTTGACAGCCCTCGCGTGTTTATTGTTTGTACTCACGGCGCTGCGTATACCAGACAGGTGGTGACGATGTACTTGACCAGGTCGCCATAGTCAAAGGCCCCTAGTTCCCTGACAATGAAGCCGGCAGTGAATAGGGTAGCGCAAGATAAATAGAAGAAGGTCAGTCTCCAGCTCTTGTAGTGACTAACGCACTCAAAGTTAGCAACTCTTTTTCCCTGAGTTGTTCAGTATCAGAAAGCCTACAAGCACTGATAAATATGCCAGATGCCAGATGCCGCGAATGCAACGGCGAAGAACACCGGGGCGCCCTTATTAGGGGCATAGAAATAGATACTGCCGTCAACTTTGGAAAAGATCCTGTCAGCTGTGATCTCAACAATAGACAGACCATGGAACATTGATGACGTACCGTATCTCCCGTCCGACATGATGAGGAGGAGAGTTTCCAAGCGAAGTTCGAACGTAGCAAGTATTCCCTCGGATGTTCACTGGGATTGTTGCAAAAACACATCCATATCAACAGCAATGCGAAGACTATGCAGCCTTTTTATGTTGTGGGATTGTGATTTTTTAAAATCCCAAACTGCGCATCTCTCGATCTCATCTTCAACCATACCCCTGATCGGTTTGGTCGGTTTGGTCGCTTTCGTCACTTTCGCCGCTTTCGTCGCTTTGGGGCGCCCAAATTCAGCCATCAGCAGAGCCTTACCGCAGTCATCGCATTCATCACATTACTTATTCATGTTGGACGAATGAGGGTGATCACCTTGCAAGCTTCCCTCCCTATTACTGTGGATTACTGTGGCTGTACAAGTTAGTTGAATAATCCTGGTGGTTCCATGCTTACTTACATGCCCTTTCCGCCCTTCTCGTCCGCAGAACGGAATCGTTCCCGTCAAATTTTGTTCGTAGTTTGTCCAATCCCGGATTGACGTTTTGAGGAATTGGTTTGTGGTTGACTGCGAGAATGCGCTGTTGGTTCAACAACGGGTTCTCTTCGGCCATTCTTGGAGTGCTATGGGCCAGCTAGCACACATGTTAGCGCATGGCCGCTTGTTGGGAGAAACGAAAGGCGTTTTCAGGTAGTTTTGAATGTGATGGTGGAAGATAGAAGATCGCGTTCAATTTTCGCAGGCATGTCTCTCGGCTCGGCGATGTGATGGGCAAAACGAACAATATCACTGAACCGTTTCCCTCATGTTAGATGCCTGACTAAGAACTGGCTCATTGGAGACCTTTTGGTCTCTTGAGTTGCCATCTAGGTTAGGTGGACGGCGAAGATCCTGATAACACAGTCCTCGAGTTATACCGTCCTCAAAACAACACAAGTCTTCACTCCCCGGATGCTACAACAGCCCTGCCTGTGAAATGGGAATAAAGTCATTTAAACCACAAAGCCCTACTTGATGAAACGCCGCCCATATAGCCCTTTTGGTAACAAACAAACGCCTTTGCCCATTCTTCGACCATGGGGAATAAATCGGGCAGTAAGTAAGAAATAGCAACGCAATGTGAAAACCGCCTTAGCGTCCATGAGTTGAAACTGGCCTGCATGCAATGTTTGAAGAAGTAACTGTTTTCACATCATGTCAATCTCGGTGGTGTGCGCGGTCCGCGGACGACCATTGTCCGTCCAGAGGCCCACGGCGGCATCGGCCTCCTTGTGGGTGTAGGGGCCTTCCTTAAGCTCCTTCAACCTGTTTTCAGTCCAACCGTGTCAGTTTTCAGACCGCTCAGAGACTCGTCAGAAAAAAAACAGAAGAACTCACCTCCTCCTGTGAGGCTTGCCCTTGGTGTGCTTGACAAGAGTCGATTCCATATCGAACCACTTGGCGCACTCAACGCAGTAGTGTCTACCCAGACCAGGCAGGTCCTCAACGGCCTTGGTCTCCTTGTAAAGCTCCAAGTGCCTGGCATTGGTCAAATCCTTCTGGACCTGATCGACATCTCTGTTTTTGCACGACGTCAGTAATCCGGTCGACGCACAATGTGTGTGAATACTGAATCCGTCACTCACCTCAGGCGACGCCTGGTCTTGCACTTTGTGCGCTTAGCGAAAATGCCCATTTTGAATGATAAGTGACCTCGGTGCGAAATGAATCCTTTGTTTTACCCGACTCGAAATGTGTCAGGATGGAGTTGGAATTCTGAATTCCGAATGCGATTACTTGGACGGCGTCGTGGTTGTCGTCGTCGTCGCAGTCTCAACGGGGCACTCACACAAGAGAGGCTCACATACAGAAGGGGTCCAGCAGCGAGGCACAGCAGGAGTTCCAGGTCGACAAAAGTGGAGAAAAAACTCAGCAGCACAACGCCTGCCGCCCACTGAACGGGAACCTGACAATTTCTGGATTCGGCAGCTGCACAGGCCAGCTGACAGCTTCCGGCACCTGGCGCGGGCTGTTCAGATGCTTCACTGTCAATTTCCATCCTGTCGCAACCCAGATCGGCTCAACGTGGGAATCCACGGAGATCCGGTCTGGACTACCAACAACAATGCCGTGAAATGCCCACCGGCGCGCCGAGGAACGGAAACGGCACGGCGCTGGCATCCGGCTACTTTATCTCGAAAATCCCCATCTCTCGACGACTTCTTCCGGTGTTGTTGCGCTGGTCCTCACTCTCTCTCGGAGCGCCGTCCGTTCTACGAACCGGGGGGGCCGCAGCGCCGGAGCGAAGGGAGCGAACGGAGCTAACAAGCCTTATCGCCCTCGAATCTCCTTTCGCGGCCGAGAGGAACTAGCGAGCTGGCAAGGGTTCTGGCTTTTCTCCAGTTCCTACTACATACTGCTACGCTACCTTCGGCCAACGAACCGGGGGCCCCACCCTAGGGGCTGTCTCCAGATTAGCAGAATTTTTATCATTTTCACCTGGTCCCTGGCGCCCAAAGACGGTTTTGAAGCTGGTACTTGGAGGACTAACAGATGATGGAAATTGCAGAGCCGACGCGTTGAGCCCTTGGGGGTTTGGGGATGAAGGTTCGAGGGAGGTTGCATCTTCTCGTCAACACCTCGTAACTGACCCTCCGGTTCGCGGGTCATGTTGTCCCCCCCTCCTTTTTGCCAGAGAGCTTTGAGCTTTCGAGTCTTGACTCGTTGACCTTTGACAGCGAGCCAATCACAGGCCGTGGAAGACGGGGTGGTCGTGTGTTCTTTTAGGATTTGCGTCACTGGTTGGAAACCAGCCTTGCAGTCCACACTTGTTGTTCAAGCGTTCGTGGACGTTCCATCCCGTCTGCCCCACGTCAGGATGATCGAGGCGGGGACAATAATTATAACACGGTGACCCTGAGCGAACCGGAATTGGCGAACGAGGCATTTGCTGGATAAGAGATCCATCACCGTGCGATGGAAATAGCAATGGGAAGATTGGCTTTACATACTTGCACCACCAGCTGTACTTGATGAAAGGAAAAAGGAAGAAAGATCATGGAAGCATATGTGTGCGACAGAGAACCGACGGGAGATGGAGCTTTGACATTGACAGCAGCAGCTCTGCGGTTGTCATGGCTGCCCGTGGCTGCAGAGTGCAGCAAGCAAGCAAGCACATGCCATCCGAGCCGAGCGGCAATCCCGTCTAGCATCTGGGGTGACACGCACGACAGCAGGTCAGGTACATACACAGTAGGCTACTGTACTCTCTACATTAGTTTTCCATCCGTCGTTACTGGCCAGGCGAACGTCCTCTCCTCCTTGGCCACGAGACGGTGAGGTTGAAGATTCGGGATTCGCAATCTGGTTTAATCCCCGGACGGACCGGTGAAGACGAGATCCTGAGGTCCGGATGCCCAGGAAATGATTCAGTATCGATCAGCAGCAAACCATGGCCGCCTCGGCTTCCACGGTCAACCCACGCGAGCCTTCCCCTTGACATGTATGTACGTATTCAACTCTGTTCGCTGGGGCGCATCGTTGGCCCCTGGGGGGTCCGGGGTGCCCATTTACAAAGACATGTATTGTATGTAAATACCGAAGGGTAGTCGCCGCGAGGGATGCACAGTCCAGGGTTACCTATCCGTAGAAAGGCTGAAGGTGTGAAAGCATCCCGGCCCAACGGTCGTGACAGCAGTCGACCCCCTGAAGTTGCTGGAGTCGCTGGAACTGCCTCTGGGCCGCGAGGTCGACGTCGATGCGGTGACGGTCGGCGGTAGGCAGCGGATTTGCAGCGGATTCCCGGAAGCTGGATCGTGAAACCCGAGCGACGACCCTTTGATGGCCATCATGGTTCTCGGCATCAACGTGAAAGTCGAATTGAAACAGGCTAGCGTCGCCTTTGCCTTGTACCCGATGCGATGTCATCTCTGGCTCCCCCACACTGCAAAAGTGGTCAAAAGTTAGAATCAGCCGCCTGCTGATTGGCCGGACGCCCGATCCATTCGGGCGAGCCAGGTACTTGTTCGGCTATGACGGTGGGAGGGGAGCTCCAGCGGGTGGGCAGCAAGCCCACGTTCAAAGGTAGGGAGTTGCATTACCCCCGGTGGTTGCCACAGCAGCCCGCGCCCGCTCGGTCCATGTCGCTGCCAGACTCCAGCTGGTCCTTGGTTGGCATTCCGACCTAAAATCCCGCCCGCTCCCGTGGACCACTCATGGACCGCTTGAGCCAGTTTCCTGTTATCTACAAAACCTCTCCACCCGGCCGTATTTTTTTCCCTCTTTTTCCACGTCCATCCCTCTGCTGAAGAAAAAGCCCGTCCTAGTTTGGGGAGCCCGTCTTTCCATTCTTTTTTTCTTCTCTTAGTTTGTCCTTTTGCGCAACTCTCCCCTCTTGTTATTATTCATCCCCTGCTCTCTGAGCTGAAAGTTAATATGTTGGCCTCCCGTCAGCTCTTGGGCGTTGCCCGGAGCCGTGCCGCCGCTGGCCTCGGCCGCCGGGCCATGGCTACCGCCACTGAGAACCCTCTCGACCGCAAGGTGAGTCCCCCTCAGCGCCGCATAGAGCGCAGAGAGCGCATAGAGTCGCAAACGAGCGCAACAGGGCGCTGACATGCCATGTTTGTGGGAAACAGGTCAAGCAGAACCTTCTTGAGGAGGGTAACTTCATCAACTACAAGAAGATGTCCGAGAACCTCGCCGTTGTCCGCAGCCGTCTCAACCGCCCCCTTACCTACGCTGAGAAGATCCTCTACTCTCACTTGGACAACCCCCATGAGCAGGACATTGAGCGCGGTACCTCTTACCTCCGCCTCCGCCCCGATCGCGTTGCCTGCCAGGATGCCACCGCCCAGATGGCCATCCTCCAGTTCATGTCCGCTGGCATGCCCTCCGTTGCCAACCCCACCACCGTCCACTGCGACCACTTGATTGAGGCCCAGGTTGGTGGTGAGAAGGATCTCGAGCGCGCTGTCAACATCAACAAGGAGGTCTACGACTTCCTTGCCACCGCCTGCGCCAAGTACAACATTGGTTTCTGGAAGCCCGGCTCTGGTATCATCCACCAGATCATCCTCGAGAACTACGCTTTCCCCGGTGGTCTCCTCATCGGCACTGACTCCCACACCCCCAACGCCGCCGGTCTCGGTATGGCCGCCATTGGTGTCGGTGGTGCCGATGCCGTCGATGTCATGGCCAACCTCCCCTGGGAGCTCAAGGCCCCCAAGGTCATTGGTGTCAAGCTCACCGGTGCTCTTAACGGCTGGACTACCCCCAAGGACGTCATCCTCAAGCTCGCTGGTATCCTCACTGTCAAGGGTGGTACTGGCTCTATTGTCGAGTACTACGGTATGTCTCACTTTCCCAAACACATTTCCCATTTCGTTGAATCCATTTGGGGATCCTATCAACGCCTTGAAATTTCCGCCAATGGCCTCGTTTGAATTCGTCACTGCATTGGCAGGTTGCTCAGTGGCATTGCGAGTTTCTCGCATTGCATTGACTGGTCTGTCAAATGCATTTTGACTTTTCATCGATGTCATTGGATGGGAAGTCACGGGGCTTGGCAGGACCCACCTGCCCCTTTTTTTGTGGGGCGGGTTGCCAACAGCAACCGTCGGCCCCAAAACACCAAAACTTCACCACTCATCTTCACATCGCCAACCACATATTCAACATCACGATGCTAACAACTATGCAGGCGAAGGAGCTTCTTCCATGTCAGCCACTGGCAAGGTAAGTCAACCCCGCCGAAACCCTTCTGTGTTGATCTTCGCTAACACCTGCTGCTAGGCGACATGTGGCAATATGTGAGTTGTCTTTTCCGACCCTTCTGTCGTGATTTTTGCATATTTACTAACTCTTAAATAGGGGTGCTGAGATTGGTGCCACTACCTCCGTCTTCCCCTACGACAAGGCCATGTTCGACTACTTGGTCGCCACCAAGCGTTCCGACATCGCTGAGTTCGCCAAGACTTACCAGAAGGAGCTCCAGGCCGATGAGGGTGCTGAGTACGACCAGCACATCGAGATCAACCTCAACGAGCTCGAGCCTCACATCAACGGTCCCTTCACTCCCGATCTTGCCACCCCCATCTCCAAGTTCGCCCAGGCCGCCAAGGACAACAACTGGCCCGAGGAGCTCAAGGTCGGTCTTATCGGCTCTTGCACCAACTCCTCTTACGAGGACATGACCCGCGCTGCCTCCATCGCCCGCGATGCCCTCGACCACGGCATCAAGGCCAAGGCTGCTTTCGTCGTCACCCCCGGTTCTGAGCAGATTCGCGCCACCATTGCCCGCGACGGCCAGCTCCAGACCTTCGAGGAGTTCGGCGGCACCGTTCTCGCCAACGCCTGCGGTCCTTGCATTGGTCAGTGGGATCGCCGCGACACTCCCAAGGGCACCCCCAACTCCATCCTCAGCTCCTACAACCGGTAAGAAACTCCCCATGTTCCCTTCAGGATGATTGTTATGACGATGAATGCTAATTGCAATCTTCAGTAACTTCACTGGCCGTAACGATGGCAACCCCGCCACCCACTCCTTCGTTACCTCCCCCGATCTCGTCGTCGCCATGTCCATTGCCGGCTCTCTCTACTTCAACCCCTTGACCGACAGCCTCAAGGACAAGGACGGCAAGGAGTTCAAGCTCCAGGCCCCCACTGGTGCTGGTCTCCCCGACCGTGGCTACGACCCTGGCCAGAACACCTACCAGGCCCCTCCTGCCGACCGCGCCACTGTCCAGGTCCAGGTCTCCCCCACCTCTGACCGTCTCCAGGTCCTCTCTCCCTTCAACGCTTGGGACGGCAAGGACGCCACCGACATGCCCATCCTCATCAAGGCCCAGGGCAAGACCACCACTGACCACATCTCCATGGCCGGTCCCTGGCTCAAGTACCGTGGTCACCTTGACAACATCTCCAACAACATGTTGATCGGTGCCATCAACGCCGCCAACGGTGAGGCCAACAAGGTCCAGAACTTCACCACCGGCGAGTGGGATGCTGTCCCCGCTGTTGCCCGTGACTACAAGGCCAAGGGCATCCGCTGGGTCGTTGTCGGTGACTGGAACTACGGTGAGGGCTCTTCTCGTGAGCACGCCGCTCTCGAGCCCCGTCACCTTGGCGGTCTCGCCATCATCACCCGCTCCTTCGCTCGTATCCACGAGACCAACCTGAAGAAGCAGGGTATGCTTCCCCTCACCTTCGCCGACCCCGCCGACTATGACAAGATCAGCCCCGAGGACAAGGTCGACATCCTCTGCACTGAGCTCGCCGTTGGCAAGCCCATCACCATGCGTGTCCACCCCAAGAACGGCAAGGACTTCGAGATCAAGCTCAACCACACCTTCAACGAGGCCCAGATTGAGTGGTTCAAGAACGGCTCTGCCCTCAACACCATGGCCAAGAACGCCAAGAACTAAGCAGTAAAATATCCATAAAAATAATAAAAATGAGAATGACAAGAGGGACGAGTAAGGACGGGACTCTATAAGGGAAAGTCGGGATGGACGGGCGGCTTTCAGGGATTTTTAACTCGGATCGGCGTAATACGCAGACATCGCGCTTTTTCTTGTTTGTATGTACAAAGTCATGGCCCTTGCGTTTCAATTGATTTCTGTGAAATTCCCAAAAGCTTTTCATCGTCTCTGTACCCGCGTGAATGATGCTTGAAGTCGTCCGTTTATAGTTGCGTAGTTGTCTATCAAGCTTCAGCTCGTACCCCGGCCGCCGGTAGTCCTTCAAACCTCGACACAACGTGACGTGGATATGACCCGAACTGCCATATAACTGATCGCGAACGATGTCGTCCGTGATTCAAAAGCATTCCGATATTTCATTAAGAGATTCACTCCGTTCCCAAGTAGTCGAACATGGCCTTGTCGTAGGGGAAGACGGAGGTAGTGGCACTCTCAGGACCTCAGACGTCTTCCTTGGCTTTGCCTTGTGGGCGTTTGAGCCAACCCTAACCCCTGTATTGTAATGGCTTGAAACTTGGACAATACACATTCGCCCATGATCCATTACGTATGCTGTAATATGCAATTATGCGCTGGCTATGGGTACGTACCACTGCCACTTATCTTATCGGGTGGCCAATGTCCGACGCAGTTCCCAAAAATGCGGCGCGTCAGTGTGCTTCCCAGTTGTGGTTTCAGCAACAGCAAACGCTGCAAGTTGGATGGTTTTGCGACTGCAATTATTCATCTCGTCGTTGGTTTCTCGTCAGCATTTGCGCATGTCACAACCTCTCCCCCCAGTCGCACCCAAAGCCATGATGGCTTCGTCAGCATTTTCAGTGCTGAATGGCTCTGCCCAAAGTCCAGCGTTCCCCAGCGGAATACCAAAAGGACCGAAGGCATCTCATCACTCGCATGGTAAAGCCGGCGGCGCCAAAGCCAATGGTGGTGCCGCGGCGGCCCAAGGCGTGAATGCCGTCCACACTCACACGGCCATGGGCAGATGGTCCATCTTGCCCAAGGAGCCTCCAAGTAAGTCGGGATTACATCATTTATCCGGTTAACTACCCAGCTTCAGTCGCTAACCATGTTCGGTCTTTGTTAGAGCCTGATGCCATCAAGGCAATCCACGTCTATGACTTTGACAATACTCGTAAGGAGAACACCACCCAATTACGGTCAGAACGGTTTAGTTAACCCGGCTCTCTCAACCAGTATTCAAGACCCCTCTTCCGAACCCCAAGCTTTGGATAGGCCCTACGATCGGTACGCTATCGAACCCCGATGCTTTCGTCAACGGCGGATGGTGGCACGACTCCCGCATCCTCGCCGCGACAGGGGAAGGGCTCGCAAAGGAGGAACCCCGCGCATGGGACGGGTGGTGGAACGAAAAGATCGTTGAGCTCGTGGAGCTTAGCATGAAGCAGAAGGATGCTCTTTGCGTTCTGTTGACAGGGCGCGCCGAGGCTGGGTTCAGCAGTCTGGTTCGGCGCATGGTGGAGAGCAAAGGGCTCGTGTTCGATATCGTTGCACTCAAACCCGCCATCGGCCCCGACAACCAGCGCTTTTCTAGCACGATGAACTTCAAGCAGGCGTTCTTGGAGGCACTAATGGAGACGTACAAGCACGCCGAGGAGATACGGATTTATGAGGACCGCGTTAAACATACACAAGCATTCCGCAATTTCCTGGCGGACTACAACAGAAAACAGAATGCTACGCCAACTCGGGGGCCCATCACCGGAGAGGTTGTCCAAGTCGCCGATATATCTACCTTCTTGGATCCAGTGGTTGAAATTGCTGAAGTTCAGCAACTCATCAACGAGCACAACTCCGCTTTGGGGAGGCCGCGGCGTGGTCACCGGAACGACCGCCTCATGATCAAGAAGAAGGTTTTCTATACGGGCTACATGATTGGAAGCGCTGACACAAAACGACTACTCAGTCTCGTACAATTGCCGACGAGCTTATCCGATACCGAGCTCAAGATACACGGTAACTACATCTTGATCTCTGCGGGATCATGCTCGCAGAACATCCTGGATAAGGTGGGTGGCTTGCGTTCCAAGATGACCTGGGAGGTGACCGGGACGGCGTGCCTCGATAACAAAGTCTGGGCGGCGTCTGTCAAGCCAGTGCCCCCTACTGCGGACTTCTACACCGACAACTCGTCGCCGCATGTCGTGTTGGCTATCCGTGATCGCGCCCGTCTTCAAGACGCCAACAGGGTCCAGAACTGGCAGAAACTACCAGCGGACAAGGTGTTCAGGTTCGAGACGACTGTGGATGAAAAGATCTTGCTTCGCATAGAGCCTGAGGATTCTCATGGGAGCTCGTACGAAAGTAGGGGAAAGAAGAGGCAACATACAAGCCATGAAGATGACTTCCGGGCTCGGCCAAGCGCACCGAGTGCATTCTCGGGCCAGGGTGGCGCATATGGACAGGGAGGTCGAAACGCTCACCACCAAGGAGGCTTCCGTGGTGGAGGCAACCAAGGCAGTGGCGGCGGTAGGTTCAACCGCGGCGGAGGTGGCCAAGGCCAACGTAATTTCAGGGGCGGTAGAGGAGGCGGTCCAGGGGCTAAAGGTCGTGGTGGTCGAGGGGGTGGTGGTAGTGGCGGCGGTGGCGGTCATCACTACAAGTCGCTCGATGACCTAGGGACGAAAGATAACTCTGGCGTCTCCTACGAAGATGAAGCCAATTCTTCTCACCAACAACAGCCGGGAAGAAACAACACATTCCAACCGCCTACGGCGCCGGCAGCGATGCAGCAGCAGCAGCAGGGTGGTGGTGGAGGATTCTACAATAACAACAGCAGTAACAACAATAGCCAGTACCCGCCACCCTATCAGCAACAGCAGCAGTATGGTGGTGGCGGCGGCGGTTGGCAGCAGCAACAAGGATATCAGAATCAACCACACCAAGGCGGAAGGCCAACAGGTGGCGGAGGTGGAGGGATGGGATATGGATCCGGAGGACCGGATATCAACTCCTATTACTAGGGGTACCTGCCGCGGTACAATTAGCTTGGGCCTTGGTGTTAGCACGGCACTTCAGTCCTTGCCTGAAATGAGTTTGGAGGAGATGTAGAGCATTTGCATAAATATTGTGTGTTACAAAGCGTCGATTCTCGGATGGTACTTTTAGCGACTCATGGTAATGGTCAGCACTTTCATGAAGGATATTATCACTTCATAGAGTCAAAGGTAGACATATTTGTTGCGCGAATACAAGCGTATTGTAAATCCGTATCCTCGGCTTGTGGCTCATGATCTTTGGCGTTGTGTAAATTACCGTATCCCGTCGTGAGCGGGCTATGCTAGGTAGTGGCATACTATTGCTGTCAGAACCCCTTTAGCGTGATATGCATAAAGCAGTTAATGTAACCACAGGTAACTGTAAGTACTGTAAAACATCTCCACTGGGTACCTCGATGGCAACCCCTGATTACCGTAAGTGACACGGGGAGCTCCATCGACATCATTGGCACCGTCAACTTTGCTTCTTGTCACAACGCCTTCCTTTCCGGCTGGAGTTGTGGACAGGCAAGCTACAAGATGCCACGTCTTTTAGGTACGCTTTACACTCGTCTGTTCAAGGGGACCGTTTGGCAACATACTGACCTTCAATTGCAGCTAGCGCATTGAGCCTGCGGCGCGACCCGCGCTTGATGAAGCTCCCGCCCTACCTTTCTCTGCTATGCATCGTCGTTGGCGTCGTCTGGCTTTTCCTTCTTCCACTCGACGATTATTCCCGAAGAACATACATATCCGAAAATGCCCTATTACCGGGCCAAGTCCATACGTACTTTGGTGGCAGCGATCAGAATGTCTTCCGCGCGTATAAGCACGAGACGGACGAGCTGGCTGGCAAGGGAAACATTGAGTACGTCCACCAGCCACCCTCACTTGGTCTTTTGTTGGGGGGTCTGGGAATTATGCTGACCTAATTATACCGTATTCAGGGTCAATGACAAACTCGAATCGATTGCGAAAGGCCTCGGTCTGAAAGTTGGCCGCCAAAACTTCACCTACAGTTCCGCCGGCAACACCCATTCCGGCCAGAACATCTACGCGATCCTCCAAGCCCCGCGCGGCGACGCCACCGAAGCCATTGTCCTCGTCGCAGCCTGGAAGAACGTCAAGGGAGAACTGAACCGCAGCGGCGTGCCCCTCGTCCTCACCCTCGCCCGCTACTTCAAGCGCTGGTCGCTCTGGTCCAAGGATATCATCTTCCTCTTCACGCCCGACAGCATCGCGGGCCCCCAGGCCTGGGTCGACGCATACCACGACGCCCACGACTCGTCACGCGTCGCCAGCCTGCCCCTCAAGAGCGGTGCGTTGCAGGGCGCCATTGCCCTGGACTACACCCGCGAGACCCGCTTCCAGAGCGTGCATATCGTCTACGATGGAGTCAACGGCCAGCTTCCCAACCTGGACCTGATCAACTCGGTTAATCATGTTGCCGGCGGCCAGATGGGCATGGGCGTTGCGATCCAGGAGATGTGGAAACACAGCAATAGCTACCACGACCGGCTACAGACCATGCTGCGTGGAATGCTTAAGCAGGGGCTGGGACTGGCGAGCGGCCCGCACAGCAGTTTTATCCCTTACCATGTGGATGCGGTAACGTTGCAGCCGTTCGGTGATGGTTGGCAGGATGAGATGGCCATCGGAAGGGTCATCGAGGGCACCTTCAGGAGTTTGAATAACCTGCTGGAACACCTGCATCAGAGCTTCTTCTTCTACTTGCTCATGCAAAAGGAGCGGTTCGTCAGTATTGGCACATACTTACCCAGTGCCATGTTGGTGGCAGCCAACTTTACGATTATGGCGATTGCTCTTTGGGTGAAGAGCGGACAGCCCGATGTGCAAGAGGTCATCACGGAGAAGACCAAAACGGCTGAGGAAGCTGAGAAGATCGCTTTGCCTAACCCGCACGTCGCAGTGGAGAGGGATCTTTTCCTTCCTCTGGTTCTCGTGGCCGTCTGCCAGTTTTTGGGCGTGGTACCTCTCTATCTGTTTAACCACCTATCAGAGAGTGTAAGTGTTTGCCCCCTTTTCAACACCCCCTCACTCATCAATGACATGCTAACATGACTATAGGCCCTAATTCCAGCCTTCGTCCTCTTTACCGTCCTTTCTGCCATTCTCCCATTCCTCCTCTCCAACCTCCTTCACACCTCGACGACCTCAACAACAACCCAACAATATCACCTCATCCGCTCCTTCTCTCTCCTCCTCCTCGGCATGTTCCTCTCCTCGCTCGCGACCCTCAACTTCTCTCTCGCCTTTCTCGTAGGCGTCTTCAGCACTCCCCTGACCTTCGTCCGCCCTTGCCCCAACTCCCCCATCCTCAAATGGCTGTCTCTGGTCGTTTTATATGTCTTGTCTCCGACTACGGTGGTGTTTGTCGCCAGCGTGCTTCCAGGTCTGGATGAGAAGGTGGGATATGGATTGGGAGAGGTGCTGAGGCAGGCGGCGTTTGCTTGGGATGTCACGGGGACATATACGCCTGTTGTGGTATGGTGCGTGTGGTGGCCTGCTTGGATTGTTGGAGTTGTATCTGTCTTGGGACGGCCTGGTGGTGGTGATAAGAAGATGAAGAAGGCTTGAGAAGTACGTTTTATATGTCATATTCGGGGTTCGTTGGGGAGTTCTTGTTAGACGGCATCGCTTGGTACATAGTACTTCCAAGTTTTGGTTTTCTTCATGGCTCTTGGGACATGAATTGAATATAGTTACACAATGTCTTGGGATATACCCATCATCCCTATGTTTAGCAGCTGGCACCCGACGGAACTCTCAAGCACTTCGAGCTCTTTTTCCCGCCCTTAACATCAACCTCTGTCCATTCCCATTGCTTACAAGATCCATCGCCGCAGTTCACAAAGATGTTTGTGCCAGTTGGCAGCACATTTCCCGTCACGTTGACAAGTGTGAACCCCGTAATGGACACGCCATTAGTTGGCGGCGCGTTCTTGGAAGGAGGACTGTAGGACTGGTCGACCACGATGCCGTACTTGGTTATGTTTTGGAGCATGACGTTGTGGTAAGTGATGTTGGAGACGATACCGGTGGTTCCGTATTTGGTTTTGATTCGGGCGCCTGTAGGTATTGAAGTAGGGGAGGCTTCAGAGTCTGTTTCTGTTGCGAAGGGATGATGGGGGGAGAAGACGAGAGGGAGAGGGAGTGTGCTTACCGTTCTCAGAATTCGCAATCACCGAGTTCTCGAACAAGACGTTCTGGACGGTGTTATCACTTCTACCGCCAACGGAACCAATTGACAGACCATGGCCTCCTGAGCAAAGACCGTTGCGGAAAGTGATATTCTGTGCAAAATGAAAGCAAGAAAATAATGGTCAGCCAAAAGTTCTGTCAGGCATTTCGCGAAACTCCAACCAAAGAAGAAAAGAAAACTTACCGTCCCCGAATTAATAGCAACACAATCATCCTGATTCCACACCTGCGCCCCCTCAATCCTCACCTCCGTACTCGACCCAATATCAAACGCATCCGTATTTCTTCCCCCTTTTCCAGCATTCCAGTCGCCATCTCCCGCCTTGTTATCAACAGTCACGCCACTCAGCGTCACGTTTTTGCAGCCGTTGATACTAAACACCTGCACTGGTGCGTTGAAGATCGTGATACCCTCGATCACAGAATCAATCAGGTTGTGCACCTGGAAGAATTTTGGTTTGGTGATGGGGCCGTTTTGCCCGAGGCCGTCCCAGTAGGATTCGCCGCTGCCGTACAACAGAGAGGAGGGGAGGCCGCGGATGGTGAGCTGGGAGGAGGAGGAGATGGAGAGGAGGGGACCCGCCCAGCCGGCGGGGAAGAAGGGGAAGACGGTTTTGCCGGTGAAGGTTACTGATGTACCTGGGTTGAGATTGTCTAGGTTGAGAGTTACGCCCGCGGGTACTTCGAGGTCGGAGAGGATGATGTCTTGACAAGAGCTGTTGCGTTTGGAGAGGAGGTCGAAGCCGGTTGAGCCGGTGAAGGTGCAGGGCGCTATCTGGTTGGCCACATGGTGTGGTGAGATCGAGGCTGCTATCGCAGCACTGCCGAAGAAGGCTGGCATAAGAGACGCAATGATTTTCATGGTTGTTGGAAGCTGGTAGCAGACTTGGTTACCCATGTATCGGTCGGTATAGGCACAACAACAATCATGTAAGCACATGAAGAAGTCAAGACATTCGGCAAGGCCAGCTTTATATACTCAGCTGTGTGAAAAAATTGGAGGGTCATCTCATTTCAAGAGCGCAGGGGGTTGAAACGTAGCGGCGTGGTATCGAAGGCTTAAACCCAGGACCTCGTTAACGACCCCCGTATGGGGACACCGAGGTTGAGAATACTACGCTGTCAATTTTTCCAGAGATATCCGAACAATTGTCCATCAAACACAGGGCGCCGCCGAAGATGTTGCGCAGGACGGCATTGGTGTAAGCGGAGCACTCAGCGTTGCCAAAGTCGGTACCGGCGCTGAATACGAGGCGGCCACCCAGTAGATTGCTAGACTCGCTAGAGTAACGGTGCTTTCTTCGGCGTACATTTGACCGAGCGGACAAATTCGAGAACTGGTTTTTGATTCAGGTCGTCGTCGTCGTCCATGGTCGTTGCCCCTGAGGTGGGAGTCAAGGAAGAGAATGAAGGCGAGGAATTGTTCCGAAGGAAGATCTGCATGTAGTGCTTGCGGAACCTTGACTGTTGTGTGCTTTACCCTTTCCTGCCAATATTCTTCCTCCAGATTTACGTCCTGTGATCTTGTTAGGTTCTGGTTGTTGAGTTGTCAATTCCGTCTCGTCGTCGAGCGGCTTGTGAGGTCAAGAGTGGGGCACTTGCACGGTGAAGCTTCACCTTGCGCTCACCGGGCAGTGCCACCGAATTTTCCTCCTTTCAATAACACCAACGACCGAACACAAATTCCTTCCGCAACAGACTCTTGAGCTTCAAGGAACGAAATTACTATCTGCAGCTTGGTCTAAAATAAACGTCGGATTTTTCGTCTTCTCATTCCCACTTCCACCACCGGCCAAGTCCAAGTCATCTTCACAACGCTGTCTCATCCCACCACCGTCAACCCACCAACCAGACAAAAGCCCTTCAACATGTCCGACAGCAAGCAAAAGACCCAACAAGAGGTTTCCTCCGAGTTCACTTCATACTACCTCCAACGAGCAACCAAGGAGTTTGCCGAGGATCTGGACAAGGTGCGCACGGCTGACGACTTCAAGAACGATGCGATCCACCTGCTAGTGAACGCGCTACAGCAGGGCACTGCGCTCTTCTCTCCCGAGGAGCAGAGGAGGATAGTCGAGACTGCGGCGGAGAGGAAGTGATGACGACGAGAGACGGATGTTTTGAATGGAAGGGATCACGGAGGTTCAGACGGGTTGGAGGTTACATGTTGCGTGATCGCAGGAAGGAAGATCCGAAGATGGGAGGACGTCTCCCGATAGCGGGCATCGAGCAGAGCAGTCCATCGGTCCAAGACGAGAAAGAATTCGGTTCGGACGTGATCCTTCAGAGGGCCATGCGAATCCTATCCACGTCGACCAATTTATCGACATGACATGGCTGGGGAGAGATTGGTCGGTTGAAGCAGACCGAAGACAAGCTGTTCACCTACAGCATCGTCCAGTCGGTTCCACGACCATAGTTGGAGAGCAGAGCCGGGCGCAAACCTCAAGGGCACGGAGGATGAGCATGGAATACCCGTAAAAGCATAGGAAATGCGAGGAAGGAAGAATGAACTGCTGCACGAAATCGATAACCTAATAAATGAAGCAAACCGGTTCAATGTGGCTGCTGTACAATTTCTATCCAACAGGCCGTTCGCACTGAAATGCGCATCTTGGTGCCAGTAATGCTGTTTCTGGCATTATAAGTGCAATTGCAGAGCTCACTGTTCAACAATCAAAACCATGACATCTTGGCCGAGTGGTTAAGGCGACAGACTTGAATACCCTTATTCAGCTATCTGTTATCTTCGGATGCGTAGGTTCAAATCCTGCAGATGTCGTTTTTTTCGACCTTTTTGCATCTTGATTTTCGCAATCAACATGTATTCCACCGAGATACACGAGATGGATCCTTTTTTTGTTGTCGTTTTGGCATTGATTGCTAGATCCCTGAAATGCAAAAGCATGTTTGTTCTCCGAGTTGAATGCTGGTACTGACATTTCGCCTCGACTATTCTACCCTGCACTCGGCAGGCGCCACCCGCCCGTACCTTCGTCTTTTCAAACCCTCGGTCGCGCCTTCCTTTTGGGGGTCGGTCTTCAATGATATGTTTACCCTGTCCTAGTATGGGTGGTTCAGGTTGAAGCTCTGCCGAAGTACGGTGCTTCGGATGCACCCAGTGTTTTTCCAGTCTGTTCACAAGTCAACACTGCAAACCAGGTCATTTCTTTCAAGGGAATAATCACATAACATGATGGACGGGAAAGAATGGCGCTGTGTCAACAAAAAGCACCGCCAAGACGTCAGGGACGGCCGAGAGAAAAAGTAGACCCCTCCACTCCACTTCCGACCAGCGACCTATCCGACACGGACGGGGACCCCTAACCACGCTCCCCACGGCCGGGACGGAACCCCGAGAGCCCGCCTGTCAGCTTTATTCAGCAAGACTAGTTATTCACCACAAGCTTAGAGTCGGACCTTACTCCTGACCGACATTCGAAGAGGAACCGATTTTGATTTTATTTTCTCCTTCGTTTCTCTCCTAACGTCGGATTATCAACATCTACGTACTTCGCAGCTAAGACCGATAAGAGAGCGCCAAACGTTGTTGCTCTCGATAAGGCGGCCATACAACACCGACTGCCGTCCGCCTTCCTCGTTCGACAGGACAACATTTAACCAACGTCCCGAGTCCTCGAGACGCTATATGCCCTTCGGAGACGCTCGAGTGCGCATCTAACCGGCGCTCACAAGTCTAAATCTGGACGCGGAGATACCCTCCCACCTGCCCACTGCGCATCTTATCCCTTGGGATCTTCCTGAACACCGACCGACTACTCGAATCACGACACCACACAAAGATACATAATGGCAGCCCAAACACTGCCCGCCTCCGGGGCCGCCGTGACGTTCAACACTCAGCGCACGCGTGCCTATCTCCTCAAGCTGCCGCTTTTCACAAGAGCCACAGTGCTGATCATTGTCTTGACGTGGGTTCTGACATTGGTGGGCAAGTCGTGGAATTGGGACGTCAAGACCTGGGGAGCGTTGATACCGGACGAAATTGGAATTGCGACATGTAGGTCTTACCCAGTTCTCGGTTTTTTGTTTTGGTCATGCGAGGGTAGTGGCTGGGGTAGAGGAATTCGCCCAAGGAGACAGGATGGGAAGAAGCAACAGGTGCAGACCAACGAGCAGGAGGAAACCACTATGCCGTGAACCTCACTTGGACGCAAAGTATGCGCGGGGGGCGGATATCGAAGATATCAGACGGCAGCTCTTTGGGGTGGCGAGAGGCTTCATATTTGGGAACAGGTCCTGCGTCAGCGCTGGCCTGTGACACGAGGTCACTTGCACGAGCACACCTGCTAACGCTCATGACAACAGTATACCGCATCAACACATTCCCGTTCATCCACCTGAACATCTTCCACACAATACTCAACATTGTCGCATTCACACCTCTTCTCGAGCGGTTCGAGCATGAGTACGGTACTCTGACCTCTGTAGCGCTCTTCTTTGGCCGTAAGATATCCATTGTCTCTCTTCTCCTTGACTTTTCCGGGGCCACAACTAACACGTTCGTTCTTCTTTAGCATTCGCAACGATACCCGGCCTCATCTACGTCTTCATCGAAAGATTCATCCTCCACGCCAACACGCCAGTCATGGGAGCCAGCATGTGGGTGTTCCTGCTGCTTGGCATGGAAGCCATTCGCACCTACAAAACCAACCCTTCCTTCACCATCAGCACCTACAACATTCCTACGTGGATCACACCGTTGTTGTTGGTGGTGGTCACTGCCGCCTTGCTGCCGAGCTCGAGCTTCCTCGGGCACTTGGCGGGTCTGCTAGTCGGTTATGGATGTAAGTATTTGATCCCAACTGCTCTGCTCCCCGTACGTCCTTGTTGAGAGAAAAGGAGCTAGATGGCTAACATGGATGGTAATCAAATAGTTGGTCTGGGATACCTCAAGTTCCTCGCCCCTCCCGAGTGGGCGTTGCGCTTCATCGAAGGAAAGCTCAACCTCCTGGGCAGACTGCCTCACTACGTCAGCGTGGATCAGAAGACTTTTGGCAGATTTGGCGTCCTCCCTTCCTCCGCCTCTTCAGCCGAGGCTGGCATTCCATTTGCCGGGGTCTCCGGTGGTCAGCGGTTGGGACCTTGAAAGAAAGAGGGGTTCCAGGAGCATCACGTTACGTTACCTACATGAGCAGAGAGAGCATGGGAAAGTATAAAATGGTGCATATGAGGGCATGCGTGTCATGAATGATAGATATAGAAGATAACTTACTGTTAATGTTTGATGTTGTACGACTAAACATAGGGTGGAGGGAAATCAAAAGGGAGTGGCACGGGGTTCTCGGATATAAATCAAGTCTTCTCTTGGGATTGGGGGCCTGCAAGTAGAGTTTTCTTCAATGTGATGAGTGGCGATCTTTCACCTGAAAGACGCCCATGAATGATGAGTTGGGTTTCATGGTCATCAAGGGCCTATGGGTTTACAGAGTCCAACTCTGATTTTCTGTTAGCTTTGGTCTTTCGATCAGATCTTCGGCAAGGCTCGCTCAAAACCCAGGTATAACGAGTGTTTCCGTTTTGCCCTCCCACCTTCTTGACGCCTTCAACAAAACCGTTCTATTCCCAAGTATTATTTTTGCCATGTATAGTCCCAAATGATGGACCGAAAACTTCCTTCTTATTCCTATCATCAGCTTCGCTGTGCCATACCCATTCCATACCCTCAAGCAGCAGTAGCAGCACCCTCCTTCTCCTTCCACCCCAACTCCCTCAAAGTCCACCCCTTCCCCTCCGGCGTCTCCGCCCCCGCCCCCTCCTCCGGCTTCACCTCAAAATTAGCATAGCAATAAAACTCATTGCTCAACCCCCTCGCATGCTTAGGCTCAAACGTAGTAGTCCTCACGCCGTAGCTCTTATACAGCTTCTCCGTAACCAGCTTCTCCATTCGCTCGCCCGTGCAAGCAATGATCTTCTCTGGACCAGAAGAAGGCTTAAACATCCACCTAACCGTCAATGCCGCCTTAGTCTGGCAATCCTCGCTCAAAAAGGGCGGGTCGACAATGACGCGGTCAAAGGCGCCCTTGAGGGTTGCGGGAAGCTTGAGCGGCTGGGCGAAATCGTAAAAGACGAATTCGTCGGCGAAGACGGCGAAGCGGTTGTCGTGCTCGAGCAAGGTCAGCTTGGGCTTGGGCTTGTCGGCGTAGGCGTCACTGTTCAGGAGGTTCTTGAGCTGGACGAAGACGGAGGGGGCGGAGACGACGGCGATGGAGGTGGTTGGAGTGGCGCCCGAGAGGAGTTGTTTGGCGAGGAAGGTGGCTGTTTCGTCGGAGTACTGATGATTATTTTGGTGTCAGTTGGCTCAGATGTAAAGAATGAAAATGTTTATAAAAACCCACCCAGAACTGACTCTCATTCCAATCCTCAGTGAAAGCGTCCATGGACAGCTTGACGTTCAAAGCGTGCCTCTCCTCAGCCTCGGCCTGGAGCTTAGCAAACTGCTCGGCACGGGCATCGCGATCGGCGTAAAAGGACTTGAGGGCATCGAGGGTTGAGGAAGACAGTTCGCTTTAGACCGTCAGCATCCTGCATAATGGTATATCAGGTAGTTATTGGTAGTGAGGCATTACTCACAGATCGCTCTCATCATCAGAGAACTTGTCGATGATGCACGCCATTTTTTTGTTTCAAGATGGCCAGAATATGATGCGAATGAATAAATGAGGGTGTAAGTTGAAGTGAATAGATTCTAGTCGGTCGTATAAGTGAGCAGTGAGAGATTGTTGTAAGTGTTGGGGAATGATTTGCTCTTGGCACTAACAATTAAAGTTTAACGGGAGAGTGCAGCATCGGAAAAAAATTGTGGATGCACTTGTATCAGATGCATTGATATTTCCCCATCCGTTCCCCCTTTTAGTCGCCTCATACAAGTAAACACAACCCAGAGTCGGGATGAACCCTTCGACATCACCCCAGGTCATAACGCTTGCGCAAATACCTTGATTGCTCTAATTCTCACCACAGCATCCGGTCTGGACGTCCTGTGTTCCGTCGACTCACCCAACGCTCTATGGTGAATTTATACAATCTACATGCATCCCAGTGAAACCCCCCCAAAACTCAAAGCATGTGAATATACTCCCTGTCCTCCCTCTTCTCCTTTTCGGTCGCTGGCGGAAGGTCGTAGTAGGCGTTGCTGCGATAACTTTGCTGCATGGGAATCAGTAATCATCCTTGTTCACTCAAACTGACATGTGGGAAACTTACCAAGTAATGGTAGGTGAAGTTGGTAATATCTGCAGGCTCGATGCCGAGGTCCTTGAAGGTCTTGGCCGTCGGATCGATGACCTGGTCGTGGAACTCACGCTCAATCTCATCGGCAGACATGAAGTTCCACCAAAGGGCCTTGTTCAGGACACCAGCGATCGGCTTGAGAATCTTCTTGGGCACATTGACGTGGCGCCGCCTCTTGTAGATTTCGCGGTCAACCATCTCGGAGATTTCAGCGGTAGTGTAGGTCTTGGGACCGTAAAGCTCAAAAGTCTCGGAAGCAGTGTTGTCGTCCCAGAGCATCTGCTCAAGAGCCTGGCCAACATCGATCACCTAAAACGGCTGTTAGGCGCTACTGTCCGCGCGCGAAGGGTTATATCGTGGGGGAAGACGTACGTGAACAGGGTTATACTTCTCTTGCATCCCGTTGGATGTCAGGATATTCTTGACGCTGGCAAGCTTGTGAAGCAGCCTGTCCTCGAAGCCAAACATGGGAGCCGGCCGGACAATGGTGGTCTCGGGGAAAATGCTCCTGACTACTTGCTCACCACGCGCCTACAGATTCGATTAGAAACCCATCATGATGCGACTCGCTGGACGAGGCTGTCTTGTAATCGTACCTTGGTAGCGAAGAACTCGCACTCCGAGTTGGGGTCCGCATTGTAAGACGAGACGTGGATGAAGCGGTCGACATCGTATTTGGCGACAGCTTCGGCGATGCGCTCAGCACCCTCGATGTGAACGTCCTCGAACGAGAAATTCCTGGAACCCAGGTCAATACTCGTGCATCTCCACCGCAGCTTTTCCCAGTAAATCCAGACTCACTTGGTTGGGTAGTCGCGGCCGATCAGGTTGTAAACGACATCCGAGTGTCTGACGCTCTCCTCGATGGATTGGGTGTTGCGCAAGTCGAACTCCTGGAGTGGTGGTCATGCTTAGTAGCTGGATCCTTGAGGGTACGTGGGCCTCGACTGTATGGACATGACTCTTGTTGTGGGGAAAAGCTCACTATCATGACGACCTTGCCCAAATCACCCGTAACTTTCAGATGGCGCTTGTTGTACTCGTCGCGGAATGGAATGATGACGGTGCATCCTTGTCTCGCTGCGGAACGGTTTGATGTAAGCCATGGTGATCTCTAGAGGTATACGCCACGAAGTCGCCAGATCGCACCTAGTCTGTTGACAATGTAGCGACCGAGCTGGCCGGTCGCACCGAAGACTGTCGCGGTATGTCCACCGAGGGAGGAGCTGCGGAGGTAGGCGACGTGTTAGCCATGATCCATTCCACCCAAACAGATATATGGCAACAATTACCGGCCACCCTGGTTACGGATAATGGGCTTGCCGGTGCGGGTGATGGTCACGTCGGAGATAGCCCGTCGCTGAAAGGCAAAAGCGTTGGAAACGATGATTCTCGGGGTCGACCGCATCGCGGCCGTCAGGGGAGCCATCTTGTAGGTTGTGGGGTGGCAGGGCAGGCCGAGTCCCGTTCAATTGGCGATGGAAATAGAGGCTATCCGGAGCTTCAAGCTGCCGCCTTCGATATCGAACCCGGGACGTCGAAGCCGGCTCTAGCTGCCCGCCTGCTGCCAGCCTGCCGTCAGCACTTCCCCTTCAATGTACCGACCGAACTGCTGAATCACGTGTGCCAAGCTTCCATACTTACACGGCAGTACAAGTACGTACCGTTTGGTATTGGGGTCGATTGGTTGGGGAGCTGCTGCCACTGCAGTTATGGGAGGTACGTACCCCTCCCGTCTGTACCTTAGCTCCATCCAGCTTCCACTTGGCAGTAGGTAACTGTGGGGGCCTCCACAGTGCTGAAGGAGCATCCACAATGACCGACCGTAGCTGGCTGCACGCCTAACGCCGCGTCAAGGCTTCACTGCAAGACGTCAACCAAGACAACCTCAGACAACGCTTCCATCCTTCATTCTAGACGTACCGCTGCATTTCTCCGCCGAGCTCTCATACAGCGAGTAACATCATTCAACGACATACCCATCTCCATCCGCAGCAGATTCACCGACGTTTCCACCACAGGAACCGGGCGCTCGAGAACCTGCCTACATCCCAAGGACTGGACAGCAAGGATCGATAGAACACCAAGACACAACAGCACAGCACAGCCATGAACGTCGACACCATCTCCGACTTCCTCGCCGAGCAGCGCGACCAGGCGCCCGAAGAACTTCAGCCCCTCGTCCTCGAGTTCGAGACACTATGGGAGCGCAAGCTGTGGCATCAGCTCACCAACGCGCTCCTTGAGTTCTTCAACCACCCCGGCAGTGCCCCGCAGAGGCTACAGTTCTACAAGGTCTTCATTCTCAAGTTCGCCGACAAGATCAACCAGCTCAAGCTCGTCGATCTTGCTCTCAAGGCCGCCACACAATGTAGAGGTGCGCAGACGGCCCCCATCCCCTCTTCTTCCCGGTCTCCATCTGGCAGCTTGCACTAACCATGTCTGGGCGCGCAAACCGTAGACAACCAAGAGCGCCTCTCCTTTTTGGAATCCGTCGTCAAGAAGGTCGACAACGAAGACTCCCAAGACGCATATGTATTCGCCACGATCGCCGTTGCCCGCGTGAAGCTCGACCTCGGCGACCTCGACGGCGCGCGCAAGGACCTGGACACAGCCGAGCGAATCCTCGACAACTTCGACTCGGTTGAGTCGGTCGTGCACGCCGCCTTCTACGACACCAACGCCAACTACTTCCAAGCCAAGTCCGACTCGGGCTCCTACTACAAGAACGCGCTCCTCTACCTCGCCTGCATCGACGTCAAGTCGCTCTCGGTCGAGGAGCAGCGCCAGCGCGCCTACAACCTGGCCATCGCGGCCCTCGTCAGCTCGAGCATCTACAACTTCGGCGAGCTTCTCCTGCACCCCATCCTCGACGCCCTCACCATCGACGACCGGCACAAGTGGCTGCACCAGCTCCTCTTTGCCTTCAACCGCGGCGACCTGGCCGCGTACGACCTCCTGGCCAGCCACATCAGCTCGGACCCGCTGCTGGCGCAGCACACGCGCCAGCTGCGCCAGAAGATCTACCTGGCGGCGCTGACGGAGGCCGTATTCCGCCGCCCGCCTCACGACCGCGCCATGTCCTTCTCCACGATTGCGAATGAGACCAAGGTACACCCCGACGAGATCGAGCACCTGATCATGAAGGCGCTGAGCTTGGATCTGCTGCGGGGCACGATCGACCAGGTCGACGAGGTGGCCCACATCAACTGGGTGCAGCCCAAGGTGCTGGACATGAAGCAGATCGAGAACATGAGGCAACGGCTGCAAGAGTGGGATTCCAGCGTTGACAAGCTGGGCAACTGGATCGAGGGTGTGGGCCAGGATGTCTGGGCTTAGGCGGTCTGGGCTTAAAGGTTGGACGAATCTACGGACGGTGTGAGGAGGAAGAAACGGCTCGGGCATTTGAACGGATGGCGCAAACCTGGAGATACAGAGACGAACCCAATGCTTAGATTAGGGAACAAGGCCAGCTATAGGCAAGATGTCGATTCGCTGCATGAGGCAGACCGCCTTGTATGATACATATGAATACCCATCAACGCATAACAACGCCCACGGCGTACGTCCCTAGATTCTTTCAACATCCAGCCCCATGCTTTGACCTGAGTTTATCTATATAATTCCTCTCCATGTACGCTACATGAACAAAAACAAATCCGAAATACGCCGGCAGAATATGCTTCTTCGAATGCCGCAAAAAGATCGAGTACTTTACAAAACATAAACGAGCCATCTGGCACGCATATACTGAAAACAACATCATACATAAGCAAACACTTACACTGCTTACTTGCCCCTACCAGTACACCGTTCATCTGGGCTCAAGACAGAGACCGAACGATGTAAAAAAGAAGATAGGCCTTTGCGTTCAGCACGTCAGACTTCTGGGCCAGTTCAACTTTGTGATCGTTAAATGCAAACCACTAAAAATGTGCCAGAGGCAGTAGGTCAGCAAGTCTACCCTCGAGTAACTACATATGTGTCATGGGTCACTAGTCAAACTCACCTGGTCGCCAACCCGGCAATAAGAAATGTAGTGTCCAGTATCCATGTCACCAACGTGCACAACGACGCAAAGAAGATCGTAAGTGCAGGATCGCTGTAGCTCGTAGTCGTTCTTGAGATCCTGCGTTCGTGCGCGTGTCGTGTAAGGCAGCATGTTGAGTTGCAAAGGAAACTGGACAGGCGTCTCGATTTTCTGGGCACGGTCGTTACGCCCTTGTTTGAACTCGAATCTCTGTCGACAAGTCAGCTTCTGTTGCCTCCGATCAAAAAGGAATCGAGAACGGGGACAAGGGAATGCGAATGAGGAAGGGGTCCCGGTAATCTTACCTTGAGCTGGATAGAAAGGACGTTGGGTAACTTCTTGATACTGGTCTGTCTTCTTGCTTGCTGTACTGAATTGCAGTTCTGACACCGATACTCGCACTTGTCGGATTTGATGTATTCCTCGTCCAAGCATTCCTGGAGAGTCACACTGTTTTGCGTTCTCGCTGATGAGACCCCGTCGCCATTAGTCAAGTTCTTCTTGCCCCTTTTTTGAGTCAAATTTTC